GATGGAAGGCTGAGTCAACCCTGAGCCGGTGAGATTTGAACCGCTGAACTGCTGATCTAGCAGTCAGCTGAAGTGGCCTGCAGTACTGCCCTCTAACCACTGCGCCACCTCTGCTAAAGTGTGGAGACAGTTTGTCCAAAAAATTCTGGAGTACAATCCATGGTGTCTGCAGCAAAATGTGATCGCATCAAATGAACCTTGTAGAGATGATCATCACACAAGTGTCATCACTGCATATTGGGTACTAGCATCTGACATATACATAGAGGATGTGAAATAAGTTATTCATGGTAGGCTTGTGGTCTTCAAAAGAAAATCATTCATATGTGAGCCAGCATTTCAGCAGTGAAGCAAAACCCAGGGCAAACTCCTAGCCAACCAGAATCATTCGGTAGTTAGATGGACAGCATAAAAATCCAATAAATTAAATCTCTTTTTTAAAAAAACCCATAGAGGGCAGAAAAGCAAGCGTACAAAATTCAGACAATATCTGACTTCACATGATATGACTCATAAGAATGACCACTTATGAGGGCAAAGGCATTCACAGACATTGTAAAGCAAAAGAGATTACCTACCACACAAATACCAGATCCATCAAGACACTTGTAGGCATTGTTATTGCAGTGGCAGGGGCTGCAGTTGCCCGAAATGGTGCGATAAAACCCTTCTTGACATTTCTGCAAGAAAAATCCAAGGGGGAAAAACATGTAATTGGCTACATTTTCCCAGGTTAATTTTGTTTGTTTTTTTACAACCTATATATTGCCTAGCTAGCATGTAGCTATAACTCAATAAAAAAAATAATCTCTGCAATTTTAAAAATAAGAATAAGATCAATAAAAACAAATGCAGCTGCTGTAGCTCAGATTTGGTAGCTCTAATATGTTTCTTAGCTCTGGCATTTTCCAGAAAGAGTTGTATGTATTAGGATGTATCAGCCACAGTTCTAGCAGCAAGACCATAGCAATTTTTTTTATTATTGGACATTTTAGACAACAAACCTTCAAAATGACCTTGTCTGAAGCATGATAATACAGTTCTTCCGAATCCATATCTCTAAATGAGACACATGCAGAAAAGGTGATAAGTCAGGGATAAATAGCTAATCTAAATATAGGCTGTATACATCCATTAAGCCACACATTTATGAAAGCAATTTTAGCAGATTGGCAGCAAGGTATCACAGATGGGACCGATCTGTCACTACTTTTCAAATTCCTTTTTTCAGTGGTTATAAAAGGAGACAATCTCTTATGAAATGGCCAATAAAACAGATGAAATAAGCTTTTTAGAATAGGTTAATAGGCACTTATTTCAATGTCAGCCTTCATTTTTAAGACTCTTTGGACACTAAGAACTGAGGTTTTCATTCTTCATGCAGCAAGTGAATTCAGAAGAGCACTGTGAAGTTTATATCAATATAAAGGAAATAAATACAATCCCAAATTTTGTCTGCCCCTATTTATCCTCCTGTCCTATCTATTTGAGTACAGCTGGTACTCAGGGGTGGTTTCTGGATGGCTTTACTGCCGGTTCGCTCGTGTGCGCACTTTGCACACACACACATGCTGGATGAGCTCTGCATGCGCATACGTGCTGTGTGCGCATGCACAGTTCAATTAAAATTGTTCTTCGCATGCACAGAATTTAAAAACAAGATGTGAAGCTGACGGTGCCCACCGTGCATGTGTGTGACACCGCGCACCCCATTTTGGGCCTAGCAGGCCTCCCTGAAGCCTCCTGGGACCAAAAATGGGGCATGTGACCCCCTGCCCCCCACGCATGCATGTGCGTCTCCTGCATGCATGGCAGAGACCTGAAAATCAGCTGTCCAGCAGGAGGTGGCACACATGCACAGTGGAGCTGAGCTGGGCAATGGCTCATGTGCCCACAGAGATGGCTCTACGTGCCACCTGTGGCACATATGCCATAGATTCTGTTCTGACCCCCCTCATTCCATACCAAAGCACTCCAAAGATACTTTACGCAATTTATTAATAGACAGACAGGCAGCAAACCAGCACAGACAAGCCTTGGCAGCAATCCAGTACAGATAAGCCTTGGCAGCAATCCAGCCTGCCAAGCTCACAATACTGTTCTCCAACATTA